AAAAAAAATGGAGAGAAAAATGCAAAAACGCAAAATGTGTTTAAAACATTTCTTTTTCATCGCTAGAGAAGTGTGTTGTACGCATTTATTACGCATTTTGCTATACACGCATTTTCAAAAAAAAAAAAATTTTTTACGCGTCACATATACAGTCCACTAAAAAACAAAACAGGGTACGCAGGCAATAACATAATACAAGCCCAATAAAACGCAATTGGGAATGCAATATAAGCATAACAATCGATTAAGCAAGATTGTGAAATATTTTGAATACAAACAACCGTTTGTCTCAAAATGATGATTTCAAACTCGGACGCACGCTACTAAGATGAAATCATCGACAAAACATAAATGCAACGCAAACATAACGGCAATTAACCAATATGGTGAAATACTTTGAAATACAAACGACTCTTTGTTTATAAAGATGAGTTTCAATTTTAACGCTCAAAAATATCGACAAATTACGCAGCAAATATGCACAAGAATCAACATTTAAACAATGTTGACAAAAATCCATAACGGATAAATAAATAAATTTAAAAAAAAAAAAGAATATGTTGAACTCAAGATTGTCGAATTCAAAGTATACAATCGAGTATCCAATGCAAAAGACACTCAGATTACAATGCAGCATTTTCAACATACGCTTCTGAGAATTTGGTCGAACGAACAATCTCGAACCGACGCTCAACACATGCACACTTAAAAACGCTCTCGTCTCACTTTGCAACTCACTCACACAGGCAAGAGTGAGAACGCATGCAAATTGACTTGACTTCACAGTCCGAAATATAATCTGTGTTGTAAATTCTCAGTTCCGAGAATTCGGTTGAGAGAAATCTCTAGCCGAAAAACACTTTGAAATTCATGCGACGCGCTGCACCGCATTTACAAACACTTACACAGGCAAGAGTGAGAACGCATGAAAACGGTGACAGCATTACACCACGCTAGCATGATCAGCTCTGTGTGATGCTCATTATTAGTTTGTCATCGATACAGATCAGAAGTCCATGTGCTCTCAGTATTTGTTTCAAGGCAAAACCAAATTCTTTTCATGGTGAAAATAATAAATACAAGTGATTTCAAATATTTTAAATATTAACAAACGCAAGATTAACGCATTTAAACGATTTTTTTATAAAAAAAAATAGTGCCTTTTTCCCGCAATCAAGTTTTAAACAAAAAGTTAACTGTGAACGCAAAAACAACATTCCTTCTGTTGAGTATAAGCAAAGAAAAACATTTTAAAAAGCGAAAAGACATCGCACCTATTTGAATTAACGCAAATTCAAATAAAAAACTACGCAATTCTTTAATGCAACAACCAGCAAAAAGAAATTTAAGATCAAACTCAACAGTCGAAGATATACCGCTAATTCAAAGCACACGCAAGCGGCACCAAAGAAGCCAGACACCAGACCGCACAATGTCACCGCCAAACACGAGACAATTTACACATTTTGCCAAAGCGATCGCAAAGGCAAATGTACACGCAAAAGAACCCGATTTTGAAAAACTTACGCACATTGAAATCGAGGATCTAATCAAATTGCTTGAAGACCAATACGCTGGTCTCAAGCAAGAATACATGAAACTTCTCGGATTAATCGAAAATGACGCAGATTTAGAGCCTCATGAAAAAACGCATGATGACCATGAACAATTATATCTAGCTACACGCTCTATTTACCGTGTTCGGCTCGAAGGCTTACAACCACCAAAATCCGATACGCAGCCAATCACGCAAACGCAAGGGAAGATTGAATTCATCCAAACGGATTCGCTATCCAATATCCCGAACACATGGGGAGTGTTCGACGGAAATTATGCGGAATGGCCGAGTTTCCGTGATCGTTTTAAAGTGATTCATGAAAATGAAAAAGTCATCACGATTCACAAATTCCAATATTTATCAGCCGCCATTAAAGACGCAGCACGCAAGACGGTGGGCGACTGGACGCTAATCGAATCACGCTACCAGGCAGTTTGGGATCGTCTGAATAAGACCTATTCGGATGAATACCTGGCCGTCCAAACACTCGTACGCAAATTATTAAACATCCCAAAACTCACGCACGCATCCAACGAGGGTATAAAAAATATCATCGACACAGTGCATGAGTGCACAAGCCGACTCAAAGCATACACGCCAATCGAACAATGGGACACACTCATTGTGTTTATGGTTATAGACCGTTTGGACGAAACCACTTACCGTGCATGGGAGTCGCATCGCATGCAATTGATGAGTGAAGATAAAACGCAAATTACTGACCAAACGTCGCAAGATAATGAAGGTGCACAAAGTGTAGAATTGCAAAACACACTTGGCAAACGCAACATTCCAACATGGGAACAAATGGACAAATTTCTCGATCAACAAGCACGCATATTACATCACGCGCAAAATCGGGAAAGCCTACCCAATTCACGAGATTCAAGCATATCTCGTAAATCACAAAACACGCAAAGTTTCCGTCCAAAATTGAACGCGAAACCGACCAACAAAACCGCTACATCAAAGGCTCACTTTGGAAAGTGTTCAATGTGTGACGAAAACCACGCACTTTTCAGATGTCCACATTGGTTGGAAATGAATTACGCCGGACGCATGGCTTACCGGGAGGACAAGGATCTCTGTGAAACATGCCTGCTTAAAAATCACGGTGATACTCCCTGCTATGATTGGAAGAAAATGGAGCCGTGCCCACGCTGCCGTCCATATGGAACCAGATTCCACAACAGTACGCTATGTCCAACCGTTCAAGCACTTCGAAGCACAGGAGCATGTAACTATCAAGTTACTGCTGGCAAATCAGGTGTCCAAGTCACGCAAAAACACCAACACCAACCACGCTGGCCAAATAAGAAGTGACTATCACGCAAACGAAAAAATTCGGACTCATTGGATGTGGTGACTTCAAAACAATCAAAACAATTAAGCCAAAAACGCAAACCAACCTCAACAGTAAACAAAGTAGGTAAATGGTCCTTACAAATGAATAAGCAGAAAGAGGACTATTTATCGGATTCGGACGCTGAAGACGCAAACAAAATTAAAAGAAACAAATTCACGCAAGGTAAGTTGCCATTTTACACTGTGCTTCTAGCAACCGCATGTGTTAGATTGCAAATTGGAACTTACATTTGTACGCACCTTTTCAGAGCGGCCTGTGACACAGGCGCGCAAGCCAGCCTAATTTCCTACGCAGCCGTTCGTGCCCTAAAATTACCTACAAAGCCATGCAATAAACCAATCGATGGAATCGGAGGAACGACAATACTGGATAAAAAGGTTTGCGCTTACCTCACGCCATGGTTCGATAGCACATTTAGAATATACGCAGAATTTCTTGTTTCAAATCATTTATCAGGCTCACATCCACATGCACAACTTGATTCTTTACGCCCAGATTCGAAAGAAATAACGCTCGCTGATCGCCATTTTGATGTGCCGTCCCAAATTGACATGCTCTTAGGTGCTGACATTTGGGGAATGATCATACGCAATGATCTATACAGACACACATCAGGTGCTGTAATGCATGATACAGCGCTCGGGCACATAATTTTAGGCAGAGCACCAATACAACAACAAGATGCATCCATTCACGCTTACACGCTTTCAGAAATTGAAGATGTGCAAACCAATTTATACGAGAATGAAAGCCTTGATGATTTGTTACGCAAATTCTTCAACAACGAGAGTGTTGTCGATGATGTCCAACTAGAGAAATATTCCGCAGAAGAAAACGCAGTGGAAACACACTACGCAAAAAACACATATCGAAACGCAGAAGGCCGATACGTAGTGAAAATTCCACTAAAGCAGAATAAAAGCCTCGGCGAATCACGTAACATTGCACTAAAGCAATTCTACGCACTTGAACGCAAATTACAATCCAATTTAGAGTTGCGTGAAAAATATGTTGAATTCATGCAAGCGTTCATAAATCTGGGGCACATGCAGCCAGCAGGAAAAATTGAACGCCAAATGCATTATTATGTACCACATCACGCAGTTTTCAAAGATGGCAAACTACGCACTGTCTTCAATGGCTCATGCAAATCGAGCAATGGTGAATCTTTGAATTCAATTCAAATGATTGGTCCCAAAATACAACATGATCTACAGTATCAAATTATGCGCTTTCGCAGACACAAATACGCTGTTACCGCTGATATCATTAAAATGTTCCGCATGGTACGCATACACCCCTCTCAATGGGATCTCCAACGCATATTTTGGAGAGAGTCTCCCAATGAAAAATTACGCGAATATCACGTTACAGTTGTAATGTATGGTTTGGCCTCATCAACATTCGAAGCAGTACGCTCTATGATTCAATGTGCACGCGATTACGCAAAAAGCCATCCGAATGCAGCTGACATCATTATCAACTGTTTCTACATGGATGATGGTTTATGGGGTGCTGACACTATCGCAAAACTAAAGCAATTATGCATGCAAGTGGAATACGTACTAAAACAAGGCGGTTTTAGTCTTGCAAAATGGGCATCTAATAGCATTTCCATCGAAAAAGAAATGCACGCTGAGCTAACCAACGCAGTAGAAATGGACAAAGATCTCACGCTTAAAGTTAAAGAAGCAAAGGTTTTAGGCATACGCTGGCTAAAAGAGTCAGACGAACTTACTATTTCTGTCCAAGCTTACGCGCACAAAGAAAAATGTACAAAACGCGACATAATCAGTGAAATTGCCAAATTATACGATCCGAATGGATACGTCGCACCTGTTGTAATTGTTGCGAAAATGTTGATGCAAGACATTTGGAAACAACGCGATTTGTCATGGGATAAATTGATACCCGAATCATTCCAAATACGCTGGAATGAATTCACGCAAAACCTATGCGACTTAAGCAAGTTTCGTATACCACGCTGGTTAAAAATGTATGAACAAAGCAAAATTCAAATCCACATGTTCTGCGATGCCACCATCAAAGCTTATGGAGCAGTTATTTACACAAGAACAATTGACACGCTTGGAGTAATTCACTGTACGCTATTCACAGCCAAATCTAAAGTAGCTCCATTAAAAGCAATCACCATACCACGCATGGAGTTGTTAGCCGCACTTTTGGGCAGCAAATTAACGCACAATTCAATACAAGCATGTGAAATGAAAAACGCAGAAATTCATTTTTGGTCGGATTCAATGGTGACTCTGCATTGGATTGGCAAAAACCCATTGCAACTCAAAACCTATGTGTCGAATAGAGTGGCAATGATACAAGAATATTCCACTAATGCAAGTTGGAAGCATGTCAAAACACAAGACAACCCTGCTGATTTGATCAGCAGAGGTATGAAGATCAGCGATTTCGTACGCAGTGATCATTGGAAGCACGGCCCAACATGGCTTTCAAAAGACCAAGGAGAATGGCCAACGCCAAAATTAGAAATCACAAACGCAATACAAGAAGAAATAAAAAAAGAAGTTAAGCCACCTGTAAACGTTAATTTGGCCATCATGATGCTACCAGTACGAATTAAACGCAACCAATATGAAATACGCGAACTATGGTACAGAACGAATAATTGGAAAAAGATGATACGCATTACAGTTTATGTTCTACGTTTTATTCAAAACACACGCATTATAAAAGATCGCACAAAATGGATACAAGGGCTACCGCAAACGCAGGAATTGAAAAATGCTCTTCGCTTCTGGATTAAATACGCACAAGCACAAACATACAAGAAGGAGATTCTAGCTCTAAAATCAAGCGACGCAGAATTTAAAACGAAAAGCAATATACGCTCGCTTAATCCTTTTTTAGACGAAAACGACATGTTAAGAGTTGGGGGACGCATTGACAAGGCAATAGTGTCATATCATATAAAACATCCTATAATTATACCCCCACGCTCACGCTTGGCATACCTATTAATACAAGAAGCTCACAATCTTACATTACATGGTGGCATTCAACAAATGATGGCATACACAAGACGCATATATTGGATACCACAATTACGATCTCAAGCACGCCAGATCGTTAACCAATGTGTCAAATGTACACGATACGCACAAAAAACAGTACAACAAATTATGGCCGAATTGCCTGCTGTACGCGTACGCCCAGCCAATCCATTCAATTCAGTAGGTATTGACTTGGCCGGCCCATTTACTGTTAAAATAACAGACAAGCTCAATTTAAACACGCGTTCCAAAGCAACCATTCCTAAAATCAAGGGATATATCGCAGTTTTCGTATGCATGGTCACACGCGCAGTACATCTTGAAGCAATAATGGACATTTCCGCAGACGCATTTTTACGAGCATTTCAACGCTTTGTCGCACGCAGGGGCTTCCCAGAAGTAGTCTACAGTGATAATGGCACAAACTTTGTCGCATCAGATCGCCTCCTACAAGAAGCAATGCAATCATGGACGCACGAATCCGTTCAACAATACGCTAGTTGGAACGGTACCAAGTGGCGATTCATTACGCCAGGCGCTCCACATGAAGGAGGCATTTGGGAAGCCGCCGTAAAATCGATGAAACATCACCTTAGACGTGTGATGGGCACTCAACAATACTCATATGAGGGCATGTCCACATTAATATGCGGCATTGAAGCCTGTCTGAATTCGCGACCTATCTGCGCAATGTCAGATGATCCTAATGATCTCGAAACGCTTACGCCAGCACATTTTCTGGTCGGAAAACCACTCACGCTTCCATTACATGAGGACATGCAGCATGTAAAAACAGCCAAAAGTTTATTTAACGCATTGCAAGCACAAATCCAAGGCTTCTGGACACAATGGTCTCAAGACTATTTACACACGCTAACGCAAAGACCAAAATGGCGAGAAGCACAGGCCAACATAATGAAAGGCCAATTGGTATTAATTAAAAATGAAAACATGCCACCAACTTACTGGGCTATGGCCAGAGTTATTGAGGTCAACGCTAGCCAAGACACAAAAGTACGCTCAGTAAAACTCAAAACGCAAAACACGATTTTAGAAAGATCCGTACGCAAATTATGCATTTTACCAACGGATCAAGAATTAAATTATTGGGTTGAAAATTGATGCTCAACTTTTCAACGAGGGGAATGTTAGAGATGGTGAGTACGCACACACGCACACGCATGCATTCACAAACACGCAAATACAAGCATTCATACACACGCATGCATACAAACACATACCTCACCAACATCAGCAGCACAGCAGAGCCGTGGCTGGAGTTTAGTTTTAAGTTTTAGTATTAAGAAAGATACTCATCAATAAAGACATATTTTATTGCTCACAAAAAATCCCTGTGTTTTATCTCTCTACCTGAACATTTGGTCCACTCGAATCGGAACGCAAACCGATGGAAAAAAAA